CTCTCCCTCTCCCTCTCTCTCTCTTGTATTCCAGTCCAGGCTCTGGAGCATTTTGAGTCCCAAGAGTCTTGCATATAGAAGTGCTGTTTGGGAAAAGAGTCCTGCCCAGCTAGAAGCTTCTCCCTGCACTTTGCCTGTCAGAAAAAAAAAGCCAGTTTTCTTGATTCCCTGATTAGGAGGAAGTTACCCTGATGACTCTTAACTTTTTCTTTACCAGGTTTAAAAATGAGCAAGGGTCTTATATACTCATAGACACTGGTTCTGGGAGAGATGGAAGGGTACTTACTTTCTCTGAAGGATGAGGATTACCTATGACCTTACTTCATAATCACTATCTTACTTTAAGCTCGTGAAAGTATTTTCTACTTGCTACCTGCATTTTTAAAGCCTCCCCCTGGTAATTGCTGTGTCAGAGCCCTGAATGGACTATGCTGTTGCCTTGGCTCTTAAAACTCATCCTCCTTGTGTTATCCAGTCGGTTGAACCCATGCTCCCTAAACAGCTCCTCATAAATGACTGGTAGACACAGACCCTTCTGCAAGCTTCTTTGCCTTTTTTATTGATGGATGAAAAATTCCCACCGTGTCTCTCCCCCTTTTTCTACTCATACTTTCCTTTGAATTATATTTATTTCAAAGATTCCACTCTGCTGCGTTTAAAGACATGCTGCCCTGTGGTTTGACAAGACACGTTTTCTTTCCTAAGAAATGAACCTAAACTTTTAAATGATGCCTGGACAGTCAGTATACACTCAGTATATTAAAATGTCTAGCTAGCCTTCATTATTTCACCTTTGAGTTCTATGTGTTCTTCCCATTTGATGCATGCGATACACAGCTAACTAGGTGAAGTGGTACAGGCTTGTTATTCCATAACTTGATTGGATGGAGCTGGTGGGAGATGAACTTGAAGCCAACCTAGGCTTCACAGTTAGTTAAAGACCACAAACAAACAAACAAACAGAACAGTGAACGAGGGCTTATAACTAACTTCCTAATTTGTAAGTATTTCTCCAGCTCTTGATTGGGAGATCCAGGAGATGCTACTGATTTTTACCAGTGTGCACTTTTTCCCTGAACTGAATGCTTCTCCAGTTTTGTTCCCAGTCCTTTCCAACCCCATTAACTCCCTAGTCTGGCTTAATCATAATGTGTATTGTAATGTTTTATCTCGCAACTCTCCCATTCAGACTGAAATAAACTTTTGCTTTTGTTGTCAGTTTAACAATTATTTTATTCTTTAAAAGTTTTTCTAAGACCACTATGGTTGTTATATAAATTGAAAAAAAACTTTTAATTAAAAAAAAAAACTTAATTCTTTTTTTTCTAAGACTTCATCAATTACTTTTCCCCCCACACACACACACACTAATTAATTTTTGTTTCTGGTCATAGCTGTTTACCATTTTCTGGGTCCACATGTATTTTTCTTGGAAAACGAAATCTGTCCAGATATGGAGATGTATGCAATAATCACAGCACTTGGGAGGTGGAGGCAGGGAAATCTCTGTGAATTTTAGGCCCATCTTTTCTACAAAGTAAGTGCCAGGCCAGTCATGCCTACATAGTAAGACCCAATCTCAAAAGAAATAAAGGAAGGGAAGGAGAAAGAAAGGAAGAAAGAGAAAAAGAAACCCAACAACAACAAAAACAACAACAAAACAACAAAATCTGAGTTTATATTCCTATTTTAATTAATCCACTGCTATCTTTATCGAGAAGTTCTGCTTCTGTGATGTTATAAGGCTTGGGTCAGAGAGCACATGATATTTTTTTATATCTGCTAATAGCATTATTCTTTTCAATTTGAGTATAATTTGAGGTCTTAACACTCTGTCTTCTTTCATCCCTAAATGGGTCCAGTTGAGAATTAGATCCAAGGAGGTAGGAATGGGTGTGATCTAAACTATTACCATAAATACAATGAGGAAGTTTGCAGTCGGGCCATAGGGTTGTTAGCTGGT